ACGTAGCAAAGATGTAATTAAGGAGGTATAACAGTGTTGAAGGTTCATGGGTAGAAAAGGAATTTAAAAATCCTAAAAAATTGTGATTTCTTGTGGCTGAACGACAAGATAACATTGAGGCATTTGCAAGGGAACATTCTGGCATCTACAAAGTAACATCTCAATGAACAGTGCATCAAACCTGATTTTTTTAGTTAGGTCAAATTACATGTTTAACCCCAAACTATATGCATTGTCACAAAATGCCCCCCAAACTTAATTTTTTAACATTTATTCACCATGAATTTTTAATTAGTATGTTATTAGGCATGTTTGAGCAATCCTTCGCATCATGTACATAATTAGATCACACTCGCAGAATCTCATTATATTATGAATTTGGCAAATTAATTCGAATTCTCAAAATAAATAGGGGATCAAAAATTCCGTTACAGTTTTTCAACGTAAAAAGACTCTATGGCCTCATGTGGTTCATTAATTCTAACTGTAACAATTTAAATCAATTTGATTTGAACTGTAAAATTTGAAGTTTGGTTTGAATTGCAATCCATATTGAAGTTTGGACATGTAGTTAAAATTGTAAATATAAAAAGGGAATAGAATCTAAATTTATGTCTTAATATGTGTTAAAAATGTAAATTTGGCAGAGAATATGTGTGAAAAAAGAAAAAACTAAAATGAGAAATAATTTACACTGTGAAAAATGGTTTTGATTTTACAAATTTAAGGGAAGGTTTTCAAATCTAAATTATGACTTCATTTGGTTCATCTGAATTCTTGCATTTGAATGGTTTGATTTAAAAAAAAAATTTAATCGAGGTGATTAGAACTGATCGTCATTTAAATATGCTAATAATTTTTTTATGAATGGTAATTCATAATAAAACAACACAAATATGTGTTTATTTTTGTTGCTCTGAACATGTGGAAAGAAGAATCTGAGCTTCGATAGATAGTAAAATAATTTAAAATTTTAGTGGCACGACATAAATCTTACAAAAACTCGATTTTCATGCTTAAATTACCTAGGCTATATAGATATTGATTTGTTTATTTTTTCACTCTGAACACATAGAAAGAAGAATCGTCTCGATCACAGTTGAAACAAAAAACTTATAGTATTTTAAAGCATGAGTTTTTATAGAGATGGAAGAGAAAAAAACAGCAAACAAATGTGGGTTACTGGATAAAAAATTATGCATTATTGTTGCTCAACTAAATGTTACTGTCTATTTAAAACCAATTTACCACTAACATAAGTAGCGTGCCACATCATTATCAATCCACTAATTTAGACCATTGAGATCAATCTAGATGATTCTAATAGAGTGAATGTTTCGATCCTCTAATTTGTATTGAAAGGACTGTAAAAACACCCTATATATATGTTTTTTTTTTTTTTTAAGAAGATGATATATTATATTTTCCCAAATTGATTATGTGGTAATTATTATAGGCATACCCACCCGTATGAAGGTTGGATTATATAAACAAATATGTAAATTCAATGAAAATGTTATAGAAATGGGAAAAGTACTTGCACTACTAATAGGATATACTTTTGCATTTTACTACCAGTAGGAAATAGATATCAAATTATATCAAATTAAGGAAAGTATAAAAAATTAAACGCAATTTAATGATATATCTGAGGGTAAAAAAATTATGTCATGTTGTTATATATCCTACCATATAAAAATTCTTAGAATAAGAATATTGTATTAATTTAAGCGGAGCAAGACTCCAAAATTGAGCTCATTTTTAAAAAGATTTTGGAACATGACATGCAGTGCAAATGTGTTTTTTTTTTTTTTTTTTTTTTCAAGATTTTGGAAATATGTAAGAGTATTGAATGCAGATGATGATCAGTAAAGCAAACTCTGAAGATCAAAACTTTTATTCTTACGAAACTTAAAAGAAAGAAGACTTATCAATGCCACCAATGGAAGTTGGAAGTCAGAAGAAGACCAAAGAGAAAGCTGCCATGCATGCATGAATCGACGGACGACTTTAGAGCAACCAAAAAAAATATATAAGCTGCCATGCATGCATGAATCGACGGACGACTTTAGAGCAACCAAAAAATATTTTTTTTTTTATTTTTTCCCTGATATTTCTTGATTTCAAAGAGAGTACAATATTGAAGTAAGGGTATCCTTTAGAGACTGATATATTATATTTTTCTCTTTTTTTATTTTTTGTGAAATAAAAATAACTTTAATAAAGTAAGGGAATGGGAATTTAAATATGATGTCAAATCATAATGATTCAGGCAATGAAATATAATTATAGCCTCATGAAGTCGTACGATGTTCATCGTATCGCATATCCCTAGACATAAGAATTATTAATAAAGTTGATTTGCTTTGTGGGGGTATGGATGTCGCTAGCTATGGCGTACAGGGATTGTTCACAAAGAGATGAATTAAAAATTTTGAAAATAAAAAAGGTTTTGGCCATAATTAGCTCTAGTACTATTGTCAACAACAAAAGGCATGTTTTGAAAAAATGAGAAGGTTAATTAAGGTGTTAAACTTTCAACTTTTTAGTACTTCATGTGAAATTGATCAGTAATTCCCTGTGCTTAATTATGTTGCATTGTCCGTAATGATGATTTTGCCTTTTCTAATTATGCTTTTTCTTTTAGACACAAAGGCTTGTGTAGAATTACAATGATCAGGAAGTATTTATACGAGAGGAAAAATGTCTTAAAAAATTGATTAAAAAATCCAATAACTTGGGATAAACATCTCACACAGTATACTGTCCTCGGATCACTATTCTTCACTCAGTCGCAATCATTTTTGTGACTATAAGTGAAATATGTTCAAAAAAAAAAAGAAATTTCTCAGATAGTCCAACTTATCGATAATTTCAATTTTTGACCATTAAATTTAATTAAAATTACATTAAATTAAAAAATTATAAAAAATAAATAGATTCTGATATAAATCTAGTAACTTAAGAATAAGAGACTATCAGAATCAGCCTAAAAATATAAAGGATTAGTAATGAGAAGAAAGTCTTTTGTAACCTTTTTTGTCACTGAAAATCCTAGATAGGCTTGAAGTTTCGGCCTAATCCACTAATAAAACTTTTGTTTTTAACATGACAAAAATGAGAATTACGTCTTCTACTGTTCAGAATTTTACAAAATGAATTGCAACAAATATTTTAAACACTCCTTTTTAGACGTCGGATCAAATTAAAATCATATTATAAGATTTGTTAACATAAAATTCTACGGACAGCCCCAAATGTTTTGAATTAATTTTGATTCTTCTAGCACTGTCCATTTAACACAACAACCTGCATCAATTGAAGAAGGCCATATATCGCATCATTTAAATAAAATAATAATAAACACACAAACTTATAATCACTTCTTAATAGGTTGATCTTAAAAGTACTTAAAAAATCCAATTCCTATTAGACAGTGCTTCTTCAAACAATCAATGCTAGATTGAAGACATGTTTGAATCATGTTATTTCTGAAATTTTAAGAAATTAAGAGAGAAAAATTACAAGTCAAACTGTTTTGCTTTGTTTTGTTAGTGTATTTCTTTTTTTTTTTTTTTTCTATAAGGAGAACTTTCATTGAACAAAACACCAGGCACAAAAGCTAGAACCTACTGAAAGAAATAAAACACGCGAATTTGCAGATCAATAGTCTAAGAAGTAATTTGTGTTAAAAAGATATTTATGTCTAAGCAGAATTGAAAAAACAAAAACATAGGAAAACAAGACAAATACGTAGAAAATCCACAAATTTGCATAGATTTGAGTAAGAAACGTGGTGAAGTTGTGAATTTATCTAAGAAAATTTGTATCGGAGCAAAAAATAAAAGTATAAGAAAAGTTTTTTTTTTCAATATAAAAATGGACGTGTGAAAATCTTGCTACATGGAAAGAAAAGACGGACGTGATCATAATGTGTGAGATTCTGATT